CAATTTCTTGCTTTCGAACTTCTAGGTTATACACATACAAAAACTTAAAGTACATTGTATTTACTAATAGAAAAGTCCACAGCTACAAAGACCTATTCCAACGCTGTAGACTATCTTGCTCCTGATAAAGGACTGATGAAGGTTGCAACAGTCATAAATGATGAGAGATGCAGCAGGCTGTTATGTTCTCCACAAAGAGTATTTCAGCAGGCATCGAAGCAGGCATGAGAAATGCAACAGGCAGTTGTATTTTCCACACAAAGTGTTTCAGCAAGCATCAAAGCAAGCAACACGCCTCCTAGGCAAAAATGGCGTGTTTCGACAAATTCTTCTTTAGGCAGACATATTTTTCCTGGAACCAAAAGCTCTCACTTTTACTGTGCATAAGTCAATCATTCTAAAGAAGGATTCTCTGGTTCTCCTACATTAGAGCCTAGTTGTTGTGTGGATAAAATGGAGGAGGGGAGAAGAATGTACGTCACTCTGAGCTCCTTGGAAAAAGGGTGGGATAAATATGAATGAAACAAATAAGACATTTTAATGTTTAAAAAGCATACCCTTCAGACATTTAACACTGTGTTTACACAGGGATTTTGCCATCAATGCAGTGCAAGTATGCATAAATATTTGATAAAATGGGTTTCAGATTAAATAGTTGATACAATGGTGGTAGTTTGTCTGTAAAATCTTGCACACGGCTTCATTAATTGCTTTTCATTTTTCTTCTTTTAAATCATTAGCCCTTTTCAGTTAAGCTACACGAAACATCAGACCCGGACAAGAAACAGATGCTGGAAAGGATTCAGAATGCAGTAAAAAGTGCTGTGGAGCCTCTTAAAAAAGCACTGCAAAACAGACTCTCCGAAGAGGAAATCAGCAAACAAGCTGAGGTTTGTACACTGAGTGTATTTGAAGGTGTAGGCTTGGTGGTGTGTTTCTGAAACAGAAGAAGAGAAGAAGAAGAGATTGGATTTATACCCCGCCCTTCACTACCCAAAGGAGTCTCAGAGCGGCTTACAAACTCCTTCTCCTTCCCCGCCCCAGAACAGACACCCTGTGAGGTAGGGGTGGGGTTGAGAGAGCTCTGACAGAAACTACTCTTTTTCAAGAACAGCTATGCCAGAACTATGGCTTGCCCAAGGTCATGCAGCAGATGCAAGTGGAGGAGTGGGGAATCAAGCCCGGTTCTCCCAGATTAGAGTCCGCGCACTTAACCACTACACCACCAGCTCATTATGGAAGGTGTTATGGCTCAGAGAGCTAAGATTCCTCCACTGCTGTAATCCCCCTTCTTCCTGGAGACCCCTCCCCAGGACTCCAACAAAGTCTGATGTTCCCTCTGTTGCAGGTTTTCATGAGTCTGAAAGGGCTGCTGCCAGAACAGGAAAATCAGCAACATACACATGTATTTAATATATACGGGAATGCTTTGCACATATACAAGGACCTCCTTGTATCTGTTCCAAATACATTAATATCTTGAATTTGTTCAAAAGCTTTTGGATTTATCATGTTGTGTCGTATACATTTCATATTCCAGGTGGTGTTACAAGAAGCAAAAGATATACTTTCTGAGTGGCTGGATGCTAAATTGTGCAGTCAGGTGACCGACAATGCTATCTTTTCAAACCTTCCAAAATTCTGGGAAGAAGAATATCATAAAGATATGGCAGCTCTCAATGTGAGTAAGCATGTTGATCCTGCAAAACAAAGATATAGGGAAATCTAGTATTAGAAATCAACCCTGATTGTTCCCTGGAAGGCCAGATCCTGAAGCTGAAGCTCAAATATTTTGGCCACCAAATGAGAAGGGAGCACTCACTGGAGAAGACCCTGACGCTGGGAAAGATTAAAGGTGAAAGAAGAAGGGGACAGCAAAGGATTAGATAGTTAGACAGTGTTATCGATGCAACAAACATGAAATTAAGCAAACTCTGGAGGATGGTGGAAGACAGGAGGACCTGGTGTGATGTGGTCCATGGGGTCACAAAGAGTCGGACACGACTGTGCGACTGAACAGCATTAACAACAGTATTAGTTATGCTTATTTATTCCAGCTTTAGGCTGCTCAGAAGTAGGGATGGGCACGAACTGGCTGATGAACTACAGTTTGTCATGAATTGTGGCTGGTTTGTGGTTTGTGAAGTAGTGCTTGCAAACTGAAGAGCCGCCATGAACTTCCATGGATTTTGATGCAGTTTATGGCAGTTCGTGAAGAGCAGAAAGCAGGGGTTTAAATGGCTCACAAACTGATATGAACTGGTTTGGTTCATGAACCGGCATATCTGTTCATGGTTCAGTTTGTGCCCATTCCTACTCAGAAGGCCTAGAAATCAAACCTATAATGATGGTGGCAACAGGTTTCAAGCCATGGCTTCTGTGATAGGCTTCACAATGTAACAGATTTAGCATCTAGTTAGATAACATGGTAAGACTTAACTGATGGGAACCTCAATAGATCTCCTTCTCTGATACTAATTTGAGAGCAGTTTTTCAAGTTTTTAAGTAGTGAAAAATTGTTTTACATGCCTAGAAAAGCTGAACAAAACAAACCTCTGCTTAGCCAGACCAATCCTGGCCCTGGCACACGGGCTGGATATCATGGGGGGGAGGAGGAAACTAACGTGCGGTCGCCCGAGAACATGTCCCTGTCAAGGTCCCGTGGTTCTGGGGAAATGCCGATCAGATGGGTATCCTGCAGCGCGGCACAAAAGCCACGCCGCGCGATCGCACTAACAATCGCTCTTTGTGCGCATGCGCTGTTGGGCGCTGTTGCGCAACCTGCGGAGACGAACAGCGGCAGACGCCAGATGCCACATAAGTCCACCGTGAACGTGATCAGACGCCTGCCGTGGTTTCCTCATAGGTAGTAGTTTTTAACTCCGCACCTTCGGCGGGGAGCCATGAGTTCGCCACGAGAGCACTGCGCTTCCCAGATGTTGGGGGTGAGATCGCACCCGGAAAATCCGCGGGACTCCCGTGCCTCTCCCGCGGCAACTTTGCCGTGTGACCAGGGCCACAATTATTCTCTTTTTATCTGCAGTTAGTTTTCTGGCATTGAAGACTTCATTTTAGCCCTTGGAAACATCGACTGTGCTCTCAGATTTTGTTAATTATGTCAGATGCCTGGGAAACCCGGGCTTCTGGTTTCAGTTTCAGGCTGCCTCCTTGCATTCTGTTGGGCAAATTCCAGTTAATTTCTTTATCTTATCAATACATGGTTATAGAGTCTTTTTAAAAAAGAGGATTGAAAGGTGTACTGAGAATCTGGTAGAAGGAATACACAATGGAATGTATGTATAATGTATTTGTTGCTTGCAGGTGTTACCTGCAGATGTCTTAACTCGTGTTAGTGAATATGTACCAGAAATTGTGGACTTTGTTCAGAGGATTGTAGATAATGGATATGGGTGAGTACAGACTAGTCTGGATTTTCCTTTTTGTATCTGTCCTACAACACGCACCTCTTCTCTGTATACAAAACCCACCAAAAACCCCTTTTCCTCTAGTCCTGAAGATAGCCAAAGATCATATGATGACCTACCTAGCTTAGCCATTTCCTTTGTTGTTAGTGACAAAGATGCTGTTTTTATAATTGCTTGTGCTGATTGAGCTTTCATAATCATAAATAGTCTTTACTATACAACATTAAGAACTGTAGCAAAGTCATTAGGTTTCACCAGTGTGCTTGGCGCAAATGGTCTGTCTATGAGCATGGTCAGATGTTTGCTATCTTATCGAGAGTTGAAGGGTTTTTTTTGGTTTTTCCGTGGTTCATACGAACCGACCTTTTGACGAACCTTTTTGCCTTCAATATCTACACTGGTGCTTGTACTCAGATGCTTGGTCTGCTCAAACCAGCTGAGGTTTGCATAATTCTCCAAACTATGGCTTTGCATGAGGTAAGACTCGACAAGTGGTTGCAATGGTGGTTGCTTCATTACTGGTGTTGTAGAGATGGGAATGTTGAGCAGATTGCAAATGAAAGCAGACAAATGGCTGGTTTGCCTGAACATTTGGAAACTCAAACCAGAGCTTGGTGTGATACCTGAATTGAACCATGGTGTCCATCTGAAATTGTACAGAGGTTTTTTTTTAAATTCACAGTTTATTAATTTCTATAGTGAACAATAATACAAAATGTTAATCTTCTTTTCCTACAGTCTGTTATATTATTCACCCCCTTTATTAATAGAAAGTGTTCTCCGGCTTATCCATTAACTCCTATTGTACCTAACTACTAAACAAGGATTACTTCCTATTCTGAAATCATATTGTCTTGTACCACCCGTACAGAGAGTTTTGACCTATCATTTTGTGATTGGTATTGCTACAAACACTGAAGGGGAAAGTAACTTTAAGGTGTTAAATGCAGTGACTCTTTACACTGGCATACTAATTCAGATCCATATGGTAAAGGGTTTCCCTTGCTTGAAAGCCAGTTGAATCCGACTCTAGGGATGCGGTGCTCATCTCCGTTTCCAAGGCAAAGAGCCAGCACTCTACGAAGACTTCTCCGTGATCATGTGGCCGGCATGACTAGACGCCGAGGCTCACAGAACGCTGTTACCTTCCCTACCGAAGCGGTACCTATTTATTTACTTGCAATTTCTTGCTTTCGAACTGCTAGGTTGGCAGGAGCTGGGACCAGAGACGGGAGCTCACTCCGTCATGAGGCACTTGGGTCTCGGACTGCTGAACTACCGACCTTCCAGTCTGCAGTTCAGCGTCTTAACCACTTGAACCACCGCAGCCCCTATCCATGTGGTACACTAGTGTAAATCTACACTATAACTCTCCACAACAAAAAGTATAGCAGTAGTACTACGAATAAAGCTATAAAGGAATTATTCTGGTGTCCTTTTCTTTCTCCAATATGCTTATCTTTTTTTTGCATATTTCATACGATGGCCATGGTAACAAAGAGATCATATACTTTAGATTTGCTCCAGAACCCTCCTGGTCCTCTTGGAGTCGTCCTAGAAACTCACCATGGAAAGCAATGAAAGCAACTGGCCTTTGTGTACAATATTTGTACACATTGTGACATTGTGTACAATGTTTGGTAGCAATAGACGGCTGGTGAAATAGTGTGTTTTGATCTTCTAGTTACGTGTCCAATGGATCTGTCTATTTTGATACGATGAAATTTGATACATCTGAGAAACACTCCTATGCGAAGTTGGTTCCCGAAGCTGTAGGAGATCAGAAAGCACTTCAGGAAGGTGAAGGTAATAGAATCCAATCCATGAATGTCTGGTGAACACGCCCAGTTGATTTTAAAAGATTTCTGAATATCACAGAGCTGTCCCTCCTCTTTTCACAGGTGACCTGAGCATCTCAGCAGACCGCTTAAGTGAGAAACGTTCTCCGAGTGATTTTGCTTTATGGAAATCCTCCAAACCAGGGGAGCCCTCATGGGATTCTCCTTGGGGAAAGGTAAGGATGGTGACCTGGATTCAGTGATCCTACTGCGAGAACAAAAGGCCGCTTCCAGGGCTCTTTTTGTAGAAAAAGCCCAGCAGGAACTCATTAGCATAATAGGCCACACCCAACAGCAGGAACTCATTAGCATATTAGGCCACACCCAGACAGTGCAGCACATTGGCATATTAGGCCACACCCCCATACCTTCCCTTGGCTTGCCCAGGTGCAAGTCAGCCCTTGGACAGGCCGGGGAAGACTCCGAGTAAATGCCTCCCTGATCCTTCCAGGCCCCCCCTGGCCTGCCCGCCTCAGAGTCGCCAGGGGGAGTCGCTCTCTGTAGCCATGCATGCAGAGGTTTTGGCTGTAGTGGGCGTGGCCAACTCTGAAGCCAGCCGGAACTCCGTTCCTGTGTGTTCCTTCCCCAAAATTAGCCCTGGCCGCTTCCCCTCAGGAGGGGAATGGCCACTCCCCCCCCCCCTTGTCTGCAACTTTTTGAAAATTGTTCCGGAGCCTCCCCTGACAATCTGGAGCCAGTTTCCCCCCCCATCTGCAACTCCCCTGTGCCCTTGAATCTGGCAACATCACTCTTCCACCATCCCTGCCACACATACGTACAAGCAGAAGTTTCTAGCACTTTCGCAGCAGGACACTTGGATCCAAATGACTGTGCGTAGGACACTCAAAGTCGTCTCACCTGTGTATGTTTTCGTGCCGTTTAACAGTGGTTACATAAGGTCCAGTCTACGGACAAGTTCTGACATTCACTTTTTAAAAGTCACGCATGTACACGTTCGTATTTTAAGAGGCACGTTTAAGTCACAGAGGATGGACAATGCAGACAACCTTTGAAACAAAATGTTATTGCCGGAAGGCTCCTTCCGTCTTGCATGTAACAAGGCTGCTGATTTTGGTGGAGTTGTGAGATTTAAGTAACCTCTAGCCAAGGGCTTTTGTTTCCTTTGTAGAAGTGGCTACTGATGAACTGCTTAAACTTTTTTGAGCTATTTTGGGGGTCCAGGAACTTACAGTTAGGACTTCTTTGCTGACGCACATCTTGTATCTCTTCAGTTGCCCCAAAGCCCAGTGTTGATGCTCTTGCCCCAGTCATGCCTTTTCCATAGTTTTTTAAATTGACTCTAGAGCCAGTATGATGTAGTGGTAAGAGCAGGGCTATTTTGGGGCAGGAACGCACAGGAACGGAGTTCCGGCTGGCTCCCGAGTTGGCCACGCCCAGCAGGAACTCATTAGCATAATAGGCCACACCCAACAGCAGAAACTCATTCGGATTGGCTACATTAGGGGTGTGTGGCCTACCATGCAAAGGAGTTCCTGCTACAAAAAAGTCCTGGGTTTTGACAACAAACAAGGTAAACAGAATAACAAGCAAAAGGTGGGTGTGGCTGGATAACCACACTTCTGGTAACATGGAGGTGCGTCCTAATGTGCTAATGAGGTGTGCTGGCACGGGTGTGGCCTAATATGCTAATTAGTTTCTGGTGTTGGGTGTGGCCTATTATGCTAATGAGTTGCTGCTGGGATTTTTCTACAAAAAGAGCCCTGGAAGAGCACTGCACGATGGCCAGTGAGACTGGGATTCAGGTTCCCATGCAGTCATCAGGCTCGCTGGGTGACATCGGGTCAGTCAGTCTCTGAAAGCCTAACCTCGGATTGCTGTGAGGATACAGTGAAGGAGGGGAGATCAAGCGCATCTCCCTGAGCTTTGTGGAGAAAGGGCGGGATAAAAATGTAATAATAACGAATTCTACCACTTAAAATGTGGTATCTAAAGCCAAACATACTCCAGCTGTGGCCTTACCGAATGATAAGGAACACCATGACCGATTTCACACAAGAGCTGCGCCACGGTCACGCCTCCCTTTGCCTCGCTTCTATTGGTCAATTTCCCACTCGAAGCTGCGCGGCCGCATTTTGACCCACGGCTTCGCCCGATTTCCCCCACAGTTTCGTGATCCTGTTTTTTGAGGATCACGAAACCACGGGGAAAATCGGGCGAAGCCGTGGGTCAGAATGGAGTCACGCGGCTTCGAGTGGGAAATTGACCAATAGAAGTGGGGCAAAGGGAGGCGCAGCGGCGCAGCTCTTTCTTGTGTGAAATGTGTGTATGTATTATCTCTGGTTTTGTGAATAATGCCTTATCTGGAGGCAAATACATGTCACAGTCAGGACTAGAAACTTGGGGGAGAGGAATGAAAAGTAGACTTCATGGTTTAATCAAGTTTGTTTCCCTCTTAGGGGAGGAAGGATAAAATTGGCCAGTTTAAGAAGCTTTCTATTATGAGGAACAAAACTTGTAATATGGAAAACAGGAGTGTAATATGTTTTTCTGTATTACTTTTAAAACAACATTTTTTTCTGACTCATTTCCTATAGAAAGCGATGGAGCCATGTCACTGGCCTTGTAGAATTCTCCCCGCCCCCGGCCAAGTTTTGCTTGATGTACCTTCAGTCACCTTAGAGTGAGGCAATTAAATATGGTTGTGCAGTCTGATCCTACTAAGCAGGCAGTGGACAAGGAATCCCTGTGCCCAGTCTGAGGCATTCTTTTTATTTTTATTTTTTTAGATTTTTATTAAATATTATAAAAGGAAAGGGGTGGGGAGATAGGGAATAGGAAAAGGTGTACAAAGAAAGTAATGCTTACAATTGCTTCTACATCAACTATTACATTATGTTAATAATTCTGCTTATACAGTCAGATAATTCTTTGTACTAAATCTGATCACTTAAACCCACAAATTTCTGGATATCTGCAAAAACCCATATTGTTGCCTTTATGTCATAAAACCATTCTATAACTCCTTAACAGCGGATTGGAACATGCATAATTAAGTTCAGACCGTAAGATACAAATTCTGCATTTAGGTCTTGTCAAATTCTATTATCGACTGTCAGAGGTCATTTTGTAGAAAAAGAGGTGCAGGAGCTCATTAACCTAACTCATTAGCATAACTTATTTGCATATGTCACACCCCCAGACATCACCGGAAGTGTGTCAGAAGGCAACACCCACCGCTCAGGCTCCACTGGACTGTTTTGGATTGCTAGCTATTGCGGGGGGAGGAACATGCAGATCTGTCCTCGCAGAGGAGGGAGAGCTTGTACCTGAATAAAACTTGGTCTTAAAGGTACCACTGGTCTGTTTTGGCAGGGGAAGCTCTGCAACTTACCTGGCTGTTTCTTGCTCTGACTGAGGGCTGCTGGGAGCAGGGGGTGGGGCTTGTTGCATGTGCCCGCCCCCTGGGGTCTTTACTGCCGGAGCTCCGCTCCTGTGCGCTTCTGCAGGAAATGACCCCTGACGACTGTTATTGATTAACGATGATGTTAAATAGTGGAGCATCAAATTATATTGTGAGGTGACCGATTTTATCTGCAAATAGGGCCGTCCGGGATGGCATATTGAATGTTCTGCAATGGCTGGCTCTATTCTAGGAGAGTCCATGGACATCCATGGAGGGGGCTTTGACCTTCGATTCCCCCACCATGACAATGAGTTGGCGCAATCCGAGGTATGTGATACATTTGTTTATGAATGTTGAAGAGCTGCCAAGCTGGCGTAGAGGCATCTCTGCAGGAAAGCAGCCATTTCATTAAATAGTTTCTATGGATTGTTGAAGGAGAAAACATTATCTCCCTGGCCCGGGTGGCCTAGGCTAGCCCGATCCCATTAGTTCTCGGAAGCTAAGCAGGGCCGACTCTGGCAAGTACTTGGAAGGGAGACCTCCAAGGAATCTCAGGGCTGGCACGCAGAGGCATGCAGTAGTAAGCTACCTCTCTGAAACTTTCACGCCCCACTAGGGGTTGCCAGAAGTCAACCATGGCCTCCAGACAGACACACACAAACACCAAAAAAAGGGAGAAAACATTGAATTCTCAGACTGGAATCTGCAACAATTCTAATTATTCCTGCTTAAGACAGTAGATAGGAGCTGCGGTGGCTCAAGTGGTTAAGATGCTGAACAGCAGGCTGTGGAAGGTCAGTAGTTCAGCAGTTCGAGACCCGAGTGTGCCGCATGACGGAGTGAGCTCCCGTCTCTAGTTCCAGCTCCTGCCAACCTAGCAGTTCGAAAGCAAGAAATTGCAAGTAGATAAATAGGTACCACTTCGGTGGGAAGGTAACAGCGTTCCGTGCGCCTTGGTGTTTAGTCATGCCGGCCACATGACCACGGAAACGTCTTCAGACAGCGCTGGCTCTTCGGCTTTGAAACGGAGATGAGCACCGCAACCCTAGAGTCGGATTCGACTGGCTTTCGAGCAAGGGAACCTTTACCTTTACCTTTAAGACAGTAGAACTTACTATTAAGACTGTGAAGTTCATGACTTTCAGTTGTTTCACTTTGTATTTAAAACCTACAGGTCAGTTTGGGCAATTGCACTAACTCAGCTTATAACCCAAATCATAAATTGGGCTTTCAGACGTTCAGCATGCTTATTGGCATTCACTTCCACCTGCTCAGCATTCCCCTCTCTGTGGGGTAAGGAGCTCCAGAGGTCAAGCAATGATCAGAACTATGGCTCTGACAACTCAGGTGTTAAGACAACTCCTGGCCCTGCAAATCCACTTTCAGACCATGGTTTCTGGTGTGTGTATGCTGGCCGGTCATAATCTGTGACATGACGGTCTGACTTGGTGTCTGAACTGAGGATCTATAAATCAGTGTTTGTGTAGTAAAACCATAGGGCTAAAATTATTTCAGAAGAGAAGAAGAGAGACAAGAAGAGATTGGATTTATACCCCGCCCTTCACTTGGAGTCTCAGAGCGGTTTACAAACTCCTTTCCCTTCCCCTCCCCACAACAGACACCCTGTGAGGTGGGTGGGGCTGAGAGAACTCTGACACAAACTGCTCTTTCAAGGACATCTGTGCCAGAGCTTGTGACTGACCCAAGGTCACAGCAGGTGCAAGTGGAGGAGTGGGGAATCAAACCCAGTTCTCCCAGATTAGAGTCCACGCAGTGTTGCTTCTCCTGAAATGGACAAGAAAGTGCTCGTTTGCAAGAGAAGGAGGGAGGACAATTCTTTTGTTCACTTTGGAGTTTCCGTTCCTATGTGTGATTGCTGAATCATGCTAAACTGGCTATGCTAAACTGGCTCTACTAATGGTAACAATGCAGTCCTGGAGTTTATTGAAACCTGTGTTAGCATAATCCAGTTATATTTACTTGGCACACCCTGCTAGCTGCTGTTTGCTAACGGCAGAGATTGAGAAAAGTGTTGAGCGGGGATTCCCAAACTGCATGCTGGGGTGTGCTACAAAAACAACTGAAGAGCACCTTGAAAAAGTTAAGCCTGTGTGTTCAGTGGATCTTTATGGCCCTCGGAGCAGGGGAAGGCCCATGCGATACTGATTCCTTTTCCCTTTAAACTGCTCCCCCATCCCGAAGAAAGGGGTAAGGAAGCAAGATTAATGCAGCCCATGCTAAAGCTGCCAGGAATGGGCAAATATCAAGGGGATCCCCTTTGCCCAGCATGCATGGCCCCATCTTTGAGGCAAGGGACTGACAAGGGAAGGCTGAGATGCAGTAGCCACACTGACTGATTGGGCAATTCCACAGCTGTTTAAAAAAAGATAAAGGTTTCCCTTGCTCGAAAGCCAGTCGAATCCGACTCTAGGGTTGCGGTGCTCATCTCCGTTTCCAAGCCAAAGAGCCAGCGCTGTCCGAAGACGTTTCTGTGGTCATGTGGCTGGCATGACTAAACACCAAGGCGCACGGAACGCTGTTACCTTCCCCCTGAAGTGGTACCTATTTATCTACTTGCAATTTCTTGCTTTCGAACTGCTAGGTTGGCAGGAGCTGGAACTAGAGACGGGAGCTCACTCCGTCATGCGGCACACTTGGGTCTCGAACTGCTGCACTACTGACCTTCCACAGCCTGCTGTTCAGCGTCTTAACCACTTGAGCCACCGCAGCTCCTTCCACAGCTGTACAGATACACATTTGTACCTTTCTTTTCTAGAGTTGAGTGAAGCAGTCCTTCATTTTAATCTAGGGGGAAAAGCTGTGCATTTGGTATCCAGAGTTTGGGAACTGCCAATTCGGAGATGCACTATCCCCAAAGCTGTAGAGTAACACAACTTTGAGAGCCTTGTTTCTCTAATCAGAACTGAAATAATTGAGAAGATGAGGAATGATGAGAAAGAAAGGCGTAGGGTTATTTGTCCTATTTTGTGCAAGTGCAAAGTGTTGAAATTATTTTTGTTACATGTATTGTAGGCATATTTTGAAAATGACAACTGGGTTCGCTATTTTCTGCACACTGGGCACTTAACAATTGCTGGTTGTAAAATGTCCAAATCTTTAAAAAACTTCATCACTATCAAAGATGCACTGAAGAAGCATACAGGTAAGACCTTTACTATATAAGCATTTTCAGTGTGTTAAAATATTTTTGTCGTTGTTGTTGTTGTTGAGAAAGTGGAGTAGATGAAAGGTTAGATGTTAACTTAATCCGTTGTTTTACTTGTGTTCATTTTCAGATAGGAGTTCCTTTATTTTGTTAATGGCATTGTAGTTTTTAGTTTTTAAAGTAGGTATCTATTGTGTGCTGTACTGTTCCACTTTTTAAATTTTTACGCTACCAACAGCTCGGCAATTACGACTGGCTTTTCTGATGCATTCTTGGAAAGATACACTAGACTATTCAAACAACACTATGGAGTCAGCGATTCAGTATGAAAAATTCATGAATGTAAGTTAACTTCCCCTTTTCATGGTTTTATTATGCTGATCAGATATTGACACCAAAAGCTAAACAGCATCAGATGCTTTCTTCTGTTAGTGTTAGGGGAAACTAAGGCCCCTAATAATATATTCAGTTACCTATGTTGTATAAAAGAGTTGGATTGCTTTAAAAAGTCCCTTCATGCTGGAAGGTTCATGTTTTCAAGACAAAGGGTTAGATCCTGGCATCTCATTCTGCCACTGCCCACGTGTTCCTTCAGTACAAAGTCCTTTGCTCTGGCACAAGATGCATCTTACGTTAGTGGAAGATGGCCTTCCACTTGAGGAACACACAGGCATCAACAAAACAAGTTGAACTGAATGCATCCAGTGCTAAAGAGCCAACTGGGAACTAGTTAGGGGAAGCACAATGTTTTGGACATTCACATCAAATATCTGGAGTCCACAGTAGCTGAACTGTAGGGGAGGGGAAGGGAAAGGAGTTTGTAAGCCGCTCTGAGACACCTTTGAGTTGTGAAGTTTGGTGTAGTGGTTAAGCGTGCGGACTCTCATCTGGGAGAACTGGGTTTGATTCCCCACTCCTCCACTTTCACCTGGCTGCATGACCTTGGGCAAGCCACAGTTCTGATAAGAGCTGTCCTTGAAAAAGAGCAGTTTCTGTCAAGAGCTCTCTCAGCCCCAACCTACCTCACAGGGTGTCTGTTGTGGGGACGGGAAGGGAAAGGAGTTTGTAAGCTGCTCTGAGACTCCTTTGGGTTGTGAAGGGCGGGGTATAAATCCAATCTCTTCTCCTTCTCCTTCTCCTTCTCCTTCTTCTTCATCCTCTTTACATTACTTTTCTCTTTTCTCACTCTTCTGCAAAGCAGATGTCCAGTAACAGAGGTTGCTGAAAATAATACATTGGCTTTTGGGACTTAAAACACTATTATATAATGTCCTAAATTGGGTGTGTGTGTGTTTTAGTGGCACACTTCAATAATTTTCAGGAGAGAAAGGAAGGAGAAATATAGTAACACAAAAGAGAGATACTGTGTTATAGGAATTCAAAAGTTTTTAGACTAAAGCTGCATGCAGACCGGCATTAAAAAGAGTTTTCCTGTACTGTGAACGTGCTCTTTCTAATGCTCTTGTGACTATAGCGTGTGAATGAGTTCACTATGAATCTTGCAGCCACAGATTGGCCTTCCTTAGTTGCCTTTGCGTAATCCCCACCCCCATTAAAGTATGAAGGTCCCTACAGATGGCTGCCTGAGATGAGCCACTTCTACCTTGGGCCTCAACTATAGAGTCTTTCTTTCTTGGCTGGAAAAGGAGATAGTGGCAGGTGAGCCAGCAGAAGAAGAAAGGAACTCTTAGGACTTACACGTTCACGGGTGTTTTGTTTCTCCCTGTCCTTAGCCGGTGCTTCCTCTTGGCAAGGAATATGTCCGGCAACGTCAGATTCTCTCATGCCTCACAGCCATGAGTGTGTTAAGAAAAGAGCTCAACATCCATTTGCATCTCTGTGAGCCGTCTCTTAATGTAGATCTGTTCTCTGCCTTAGGGCGTTATGTCTGTGACAATTTTGAAAAAAATCATACTTCTAGTATCATAATTACATCAAGCCAAAACGTTTTCTGCTATGAAGGTTTCTGTTTACAGTACAAATAAATGGATATTGTGTCGCTTGAAAAGTATCGACATCTACTTGAGCCTCTAGGCAGTCTTAGCTGATGTGTTCCTTGCATGCCCCTTAGGCAGATCCAGTGCTGTACTAGTTCCATATATAGCAGCAGTTAGGGCTCTTTTTGTAGAAAAAGCCCAGCAGGAACTCATTAGCATAATAGGCCACACCCAACAGCAAACCCAATTAGCGTATTAGGCCACACCCCCGACAGCACAGCTCATTAGCATATTAGGCCACACACACCTCGTTACCAGAAGTGTGGTCATCCAGCCACACCCATCGTTTGCTTCTTATTCTGTTTACCTTGTTTGTTGTCAAAACCCAGGGCTTTTTTGTAGCAGGAACTCCTTTGCATGTTTGGCCACACACCCCTAATGTAGCCAATCCTAATGATTTTCTGCTGTTGGGTGTGGCCTATTATGCTAATGAGTTCCTGCTGGGCATGGCCAACTCGGGAGCCAGCCGGAACTCCGTTCCTGTGCGTTCCTGCCCAAAAATAGCCCTGGCAGCAGTGAACAATATTATTAAGGCCATTGTGTAATTCTTCCCCTCATCAGGAATAATACCTAATAGTCAAGGGTAGCTGCTTGGGCCAGTCCTTTCCCAGTCTCCTTTATAGATTTGGGCCCAAAATCTTGTTACTTCAGGTAATATTAAAAACTCATATTCACCCGATAGTTCTTCCGTCCTCCAGAAGTTCCCAGCAACTTGTTCTGCACCAGACTAAACCAGTGTTCTAAACTCTGTGTGCCTTGCAGTCGCTTAGGACGCAGGGCCGACCCAAGCAGTCTTGGCACCCTACATGGCAGTTTCCCCTTTTCCCGCCACTGCACGTTGTCACAGTGGGAAGCCACCTCCCCTGCCCTCTCCCCTGTCTGTCCTGCTGCAAGGTCAAATTGCGGAAGCAGTGAGCCAAGGTGGTACAGCAATGCTCACCCTCCTTGTGTCCCCCCCCCAAATATACACCAGGGCAGGACAGGAAGCTGCCGTATGGCCTCCTCCTCCTTTAGTGCAGTGGTGAGGTGCCAAGGGGAGGAAGAGGAGGGCTTACCCTGTCCTTGTCGTGATACACTTGTAATAGTAAGACTGGCCTTAGATGAGTTTGATCTGAGGTGTCAGTACAGTGACAGTCAGCATGTGACAATAGTGGGCATGTGACTGCAGCAAGGCTGGCCAGAACTAGATTGAGGCAGTGCAACCTGGCACTGAAGGTATTGCTGAGGGTTGCATCAGCCATGAGCTGATTGGTCAGCAGATGTATAAATGTACAGCTTGTACAGCACTCTACCTCTTCTCCATGTATCAGTTGCTGCGGAGCATATTGACACTCAGGACTGTAAATAGGTGGTGGCTTGGTGTAAATAAATCACTGTGGTTGCACCAAAGTACCTGTCTCCAGCATTTGTGGGTTCTCTATCTCCCTTGGGCACTAACGTGCCAGCCAGCATTCCGCGCGGATCGCGACAGTCCTACCCTCTCCACGGGAGGGAGAAAAAGAGGAGGCTCCCACAGCTGCCAGTTGGAACCGCAGGGGTGTCTCCTGGACTGCTGCCCGCCACGTCCGACCTGGATGTCATTGACAAGTGGAGTGGGATGAGAGGGGCACAAGGGCTGGCTGGCACCACAGGCAGCCGCCTCTTAGTTTGGCTAGGGATGGGCACAAACTCCGTCACAAACCTAAATTCATCACAGAAATCGCCCAGTTCGTAGTCCGTGAGCCCAGGGTCGTGTGATGGTTTACAGAGGTTTGTGCGGTCTGTGTCAGCAGTTCATGGGGCTGACATACTGGCGCCAGTCAACTAATCGCCAAAGCGATGCGGGGGGTGGGGGGGATAGACTTCTGCAGCACTGGAAACACCGAAGCTTGCCCACAAGAGAGCTCCCATTCTGCTCTGTGAAAGCAGAATGGAAATACACCCCCCAAGCTCACACGCAACTGTTTTTACTTGGCAGTAGGCAATTAGGCAGAGAGGGACTGGAAGTATTTCCTCAGTGTGGACAGTGGAGTTGGGATGTTTGGTGCTTACTCAGGGCTCTGAAGCACTTGTCCTGCTCAATCCAAGGAAGAGAGGCTCAGCTACTGGGTTCCTTGGCCAAGGATCCACACCTTCCTTCATTGGGATTTCTGAACACCTCTTCGTGGCTGGAGTTGTGTTTGGTGCTTACTCAGGGCTCCGAGGCACCTGTCCTTCTGCTCAAGCTGAGCAGAGGAGCTTAGCTACTGGGGTTCCTCAGCTGAGGACTCATACTCTGCAAGTTTGATGTCTCTAGCTTGCGGGGAAGGGGGTGTTCGACATATTCCTCCTGAACCTGCAGCTGTGATTTTGCCACAGAGCACTGTGGAGCTGCAGTGGCTCAAATGGTTAAGACGCTGAACTGCAGGCTGTGGAAGGTCAGTAGTTCAGCGGTTCGAGACCCGAGTGTGCCGCATGACGGAGTGAGCTCCCCTCTCTAGTTCCCGCTCCTGCCAACCTAGCAGTTTGAAAGCAAGAAACTGCAAGTAGATAAATAGGTACCACTTAGGTGGGAAGGTCACAGCGTTCCGTGTGCCTTGGTGTTTAGTCACGCTGGCCACATGACCACGGAAACGTCTTCGGACAGCGCTGGCTCTTCGGCTTTGAAACGGAGATGAGCACCGCAACCCTAGAGTCGGACTCGACTGGCTTTCGAGCAAGGGAAACCTTTACCTTTACCTTTTACTTTCCTGGGGGCACATGCTTTGGCAGGGGGTGTAGCTCAGCCCCCCCACATCCAATCCTCACCGAACATGGAGGGCTGGTAGAGAAGAGTCAGCTGGAGGCTCTCTGCAAGTTTGGTATCTCTAACCCACAGGGGGGCCGTTCTACCACATCACAAACCTCATGAAATGAACCAGTTTGGTAAACGGGAAGGTTTGTGGTTCGTGCGACCCCACGAACTGGGACGAACTTCCGTTTTCCCAGTTTGTGCTCATCCCTAGTCTGGCCCTGCTGGTGTGTCATTGTTATGCCAGTTGCAGTCGAGAGCAAATTAATTAACTAGAGGAAGTTAAATAAAATATCTTTTTTCTTAAAAAGATGCCCTTCCGGGTTATTCTTCAAACCTGACTGCGTTGTGCTGAAAACGTATATCTATCTGTCTGTCTGTGTGATATTCTCCCATTTTTGTCTGAGAGGCTTTCAGACTAAAAGAAATCAGTTGCCTTTTTCTTAATGTCTCATATCATGTTGTCCTAAGTCACAGCCTGAACAAAAGCTGCTTGGCAGCGGATAATAGAAAACCTGGCAGATGTTGCGTAGATCCTGTTCTCTGAGTCTCCAAATGAGTATTGAAGCTGCTAACTGGACTGTAT